TGACCTCTCCTTGGCTTTTCTTGAGAATCAGGTCAATAGTCACTTTCTACAGGCAGCTTTTCTTGGTCTGTTCATTTTCTCCCTCTCCCCAACCCCCCCACTGTTAGTGCCTTCCCTCTGACGTTACTCTCCAGTCATACACTATATATCTTGGGTGTACTATTTACTAATAGAATTAATCAATCAATCCACAAGCATTTCTTTTGTGCTAACTTTGTGGCATTGTGCTAAGCGCGGGGCAAACAAATAAAAAAGCATAAAGAGGACCTGCCTTCAAGGAGTTTACGATCTAATTTGTAAGACAAAATACAGAGATCAGAACATACCAAATAAATAAGGAATAGAATGTGAGCTCCTTGTGGGCAGGGTTTTTCTGCCCTCCTTTGTATCCCCAGTGCTTAGCCCATAGAAGATGCTCTGAAACTTTCCTAGTCACCAATGGAGTGGAAGCAGGGCTATGTGCTTGCTCCCATGCTTTTTTTTACCATGAAGTTTTCAGTGATATTATCAGACAATAAAGACAAAAACGGCATCAACATCAGCTACCAAACAGATGGCAAATTATTTAACTTGAAAAAGCTACAAGCCAAGGGCTTAGCAATGTACCTGGCACATTTCAGGGACTTGTTAACTGACAACATAGTGACAGGAAACTCATGAGAATTTTTTTCTTCCTAAAATGGGACCAAATAACTAGAAGAAGGCCCCACACACAATAGGTAGACTATTTGTGTTAGAGGGCACAGACAAAAGTTGCACAGGTTGGATGGTTAAAGAGAATACTCACGTTGATGAGATCACAGCACCACTGGAATATTAGCACATTATGTGAGGTATGTTGTTCTTAGTAAATGTAAACATATTTTATTCAATCAATCAAGGCATGGCCTTCTACTCCTACCTACCATCAGTTGGAAACTATAGGTCTTGAATATTTTGACAATCCTGGACATTTTGTGTTGGCGGTTTCCCCAGTGACACATCATGCACAGACATATTTTACTTCCCACCCACTCTCTTTAATTGCCTGGAGTAGAAACATCGAGTTTAGAAGCTGAAAAGGATAGAAGAAATCATCTTGTTCAGCCCCCTCATTTTACAGATGAAGAAACTGAGCCTTAAGGTCACACAGCTCATTAGTGAGAGCACTGGGAGTAGAATCCAGGTCTAATTTCTGGTAATATAGGTTTGATCTTACAACACAGAGAGAAATAGTAAAAGAGAAACCAGCTGATCTGATGAGTTCAAATTAACAAGCCCAGACAAACTGTATCCCTGGGTACTGAAAGAAGGGGCAAATATGACTGCTGAGTCACTGTCTGTGATCTTTGAAAGGTCAGAGAATGGGAAATATACCAAGGGGTTGAATAAGGACAAATGACGTCCTGACTTTTTCACAAAAGGAATCACAGAATCCTAATTTAGAATTGGAAAGGCCATTAGAGGTCACCAAGTTTAATCTTCTCATTTTAAAGGTGAGGAAACCGAGGCCCAGGAAACTTAGTGATTTGCCTAAAATCACACAGATGAACAACAGGATGTGGATTTGAATCCAAGACTTCTCACTCTAGAGTCAGTGTTTATTCTACTATGTCATGCAGTAGAATCTAAAAATGATAAAACCATTAAAGTAAACTTGCTGCTTGGCCCTGTACTGCTTTCCATTTTTATCAGTGATTTAGACAAAGGCATAAATGTCATGCCCATAAATGTCATGCAGAGACGGCTCAAAGCTGGAAGTAACAAACTTGATGATGGAATCAGAATCTCAAAAGACCTTCACAGGCTTCTCACTAGACCAAATCCAAAGAGGTCCCTTCTAACTCTTGGCCTATGATTCCAAGATGAAAGTCATAGTTTTAAATGTAAAGTCTTACATTTTGGTTCAAAGAACCAACTTCACAAGTATAAGACAAAAGAATCATGACTTGAGAGTAGTTCATCTGAAAAAGAGCTGGAAGTTTTAGTAGAGAGCAAACTCAAGATAGCATGATATAATAACCCAAAAAGCCAACATGATCGTGGGCTATGTTAAGAGACGATCATCTCTCTCCTGGTCCAACTACAACTGGGACTATATTAAGGTCTGGATACTACATTTTATTTTTATTATTATTATTATTGTTGGCTAGGTAGTGGGGTTAAGTGACTTACCCAGAGTCACACAGCTAGTAAGTGTCAGGTGTCTAAGGCCAGATTTGAACTCAGGTCCTCCTGACTCCAGGGCCAGTGCTCTATCCACTGTGCCTCCTCGCTGGCTCTGGATACTCCATTTTAAGGAGGTCATTGATGAACTTGAAGGTATTCAGAGGACAGTAACCAGGATGGTGAAGCTCATGGTATATGAGGTTTCATTAAGGGATCTGAGGGATGGTTGACTTGAAGAGGAAAAGGGAGGAATATAGTAGCTACATTCAAATATGTGAAAGGTTGTCTGGTAAAAGTAGGATGAAATCTTCTTTTGGTTTGGTCCCAAAGAGTAGAACCAGGAACCAAACGTCATAGGAGAGCTTTATGAGAGGACAAACTTCCCATAATTAGAGTTACTCTACAGGAGCATGGGCTTCTTTGGGAAGTGGGGGAGGGGTGTCACCCCACATCTTCAAGCAAAGGCCTTGTGCTTTACCACTCATTGGATAACATGCTTGAGCAGCCTGGTGTGGTAGACATCAGGTCGGACTTGGAAAACTGAGGTTTGAATTCCACCTCCAAAATATGCCAGCTCGTTAAAAAATAGGCAAGTCACTGAATGTCCCTAAAATTCAGTTTCTTCATCTATAAAATGGCAATCGATACCAATAACGTCTCCTTCATCGGGAGGTTCGAATGGGCTGATGTCTACAAGAACTTTCTTTGTAAACCACGAACGCTACATAAAATGTCAGCAAATAGTTTTGCAAGAATATCTTTGTGTAAAGTTTGGATTAGCCAGTCTTTGAGGGCTCTGACAACACCTGCCATGATCCTATGGAGTTGGAAAAGGAGAGAGAAATCTGAATGAGCCAGATGACATGGCTCCTCAATTTCATTTCCTCCATTCTTCCATGACTCATCCTTTGCCAGATCCCTCTGTCCAGCCACTAGAAAATTTCCTCTGTTCCTCCAAAAACCAAACTTCTCCCATCATCAACCAAATTTTCCCACTTCCTCCTACTTCCATCCCACAACTTCTCTTATCTCATTCACCAACTTTCTTGTTTATTCTGATCAGTTCCTTCCCCAATAAAACACACACCAAAATTTTTTTCCCCTTTCCCAGATTCATTTAAATGAGAAACTGAGGACAGAGATAAGCTTTCCTCCACTGAGGAACTCTGGAATGTTTAATAAGCCTTCTTAATTCCCTTATCTCTAGCTTTCCTTTATGTTTTAACCTATCTCTACTTCACTGAATATGACAAGGTTTAATGTCAGAGGATAAATGGGATATTTGAAAACAAATCACCCCATGGCCAATGCTCACTTATCCATGGAACTGTAACGAGGATGAGGCAAGCAGGACTTTGTCCCAGGATGTCAAAACTCAGAGGATGCTGATTGTGTTTTTATACCTTCAGCCAGGTTCCAGGCTGTTCCATCCTCTAAAAGCCAGCACTACTGGAACTTTTCATCCTCCCCCACAAGGATCCTCAAGTCCTGGGGTCCTCCTCTGAGGCCTCTCTTACATCTAGCCTATGGACCATTTTGTGGTGCTTGTCTTGGGTCCCAAAACTGAATATCTATGCTATCTGGTGTCTAAAACCTACCAATCATTCCCATACCTCACTTTTTAAACAAAAACTTCAACCCCCCCTAAGGATAAATCTTCTAAAATCATGGGGGAAAAATGATTTTAATCTTATTTTTTTCACTTGTTCCTGTCCATGTTCCGGTGAAGTTTCTAATGGATAATGAGAAGCTCTAATGAGAAACAGCAACAGAGATTTTCCATATCCAATCCTTTTATCTTACAGGAATTGCATACCTGGAAACTAGCATACCTGAGTTGAAGAGCTGGTTAATGACAGAGTTGGGACTAGAGCCCAGGAATCTTAGTTTGAGCAAAGAAAAGAATAAAGGTTTGAATAAATCACCAACTGCATCAGCATTTCCTAAATGTGCAGTGTTTTTATAACAATTATATTCTGAAGTCTCTGACTCCAAAATGCTGCCAGCTGGATACTAAAGAAAACATAAATGATAATACTAGCAAGCATTTATGGAGCATTTTAAGGTTTGTAAAGTGCTTTACAATATTATCTCACTTTTATTCTCATGCAACAACCCTGAGAGGTAGGTGCTATCATTATCCCCATTTTATAAATAAAAGAACCATGGCAGGCAGAGATTAAGTGACTTGCCCATGGTCACACAGCCAATAAGTGTCTGGAGCTGGATTTGACTTCAGGTCTTTCTGACTCCAGGTTCAATGAGCTATCCGTTGCACTGTCTAGCTGCCTCTTAGCATTCCTTTTATGGCCTATGCACCACTCCATACAATCCATGGGTTCTCTAGGAAGCATTTCTTATGCAAAAATACAAGGTGGTATAGTGGACAAGTGCTGGTCTTGGAGTGAGGAAAACCTGGGTTCAAATCCAGCTTTAGCCATTTATTGGCTATATAACACTGGGCAAGTCACTTAAGCTTTCTGAGCCTCAGTTTCCTTGTCTGTAAAAGGAATATAAAACTACTCATGGTACCTACTTCGCAAGAGTTTCTGTAAGAATCGAGTGAGAAAACATATGTAAAGTGCTTTGAAAATCTTATAATGCTACTTAAACATAAGTTATTATTAATGTCATTGCAATAACTTGGTCATTCTTGGCATCTGTCACCATTATCATCTTGAGAAATGGCCTGTGTAACTGGGAAACAACAGAACACATCTCACGTAACAACAAACCCATTTCTGTTACTTATGGGCAGAAAGTTTTGCAATTGGGAGAGAAGCACTCTATCACAGGACTCCCTTTCCCACTAAATTAGTCATAGTAGACTTGCCTTTGGCTCGTTCTCTTACCTAAGACAGTCATAACTGTCTTCATGAGCTTCATCGGTGTCCGTCGGCGGCTGATGGACCCACTCGTGTGTGGGGACAAGACGTTGGTCTTCCTCTTCACATACATGTAGATACGCAGGTACACCACCACCATGATGAAGAAGGCCACGAGGTTGGACACTGTCCAGAAAATGAGGTAACTCCTGCTATAAATGGGAGCCAAGGAGGAGCAAGTAGAGATGTCACATAGGCAGTTCCAGCCAAGTGTGGGGACTGCCCCCATGAATATCGCGATAGCCCAGATGAGCAGGATCAGCAGTGTCACCCTCTTCTTGGTCAGATTACTATGGACTCTCATTCTCATGATGGACATGTGCCTCTCCACTGCAATGACCAGCAGATTTGTCAGAGAGGCCGTCAAGCTGGTGTCCAGGAGCCCCTGGCGCAGAAACCAACGGTTGACGGTCAGTGTTTTGGAGACAGGACCGGTGTTGAACATGAGGAACACATAGGCGATGCCAGCAAAGAAGTCTGCAGCGGCGAGGTTAGCCAGCAGGTAGTAGAAGGGAAAATGAAACTTTCTGTTCTTGACCACAGCCGCGATGACCAGAGAATTAGAAATAAAGATAAACAGGCAGAAGAAGGTCCCAAAGCAGAGAACAATCACAAGATTGGTCCCCGTCCATTCGTCTGCAGTATCGGCGTTGCTCATGTTATAGAAGAAGTCCATGCGTTTATCATAGTGGCACTCATTCATTATGGAAGAGGGCTGGAGAGCCTAGGAAGGAAATGGGGCAATAACAACAACAACAAAAAAAAAAAGAATATCAGTATAGAAGAATGAACAAATGAACAAGTTAAAAAGATGAAACACTCTGTGTAAAGGAGGATACACACAGAAAAGCAAGATCAGATTGTAAGCTCCTTGAAGGCAGGAACTGTCTTTTGCCTCTTTTTGTGTCCCCAGTGCTTCACACAGTGTCTGGCACAATAGGTATTTAATAAATGTTTCTTGTTTGATATTAAGATAATCCCTGCTCTCAAGGAGCTCACATTACAATAGGGAGAGAAAACACATATACATTTCAGCTCTATGTCAGATGGAAAGGCCTACTGGTCAACCAGTCAATAAATATTTATTAAATGCCTACTGTGTGCCAAGCACTGAGATAACAGCTGAGTCCTTAGGGTACAGGAAGCAAGATGGTAATGTATCTCCTTTAGTTATTTTTGGTAATAATTTTGGATAAGAGAGATATTACTAACCATTCCTTATGGAAGACATTTAAGGGAGGGAGCCACAGATCAAGATTTCTGAACCTTGAAAACAACCACGGTGCTACGGAAAACAATCCTACTCCAAACCAATCACAAGCACTTATTAAGTGTCTCCTATATGCAAGGCACCATGCTAGCTAGTGCCCATCAACATATCAGAATGTTCCTCTTAGCAGCTTGCCCAAGCACCTTTCTCATTTATCCACTGTATCCACTCTAATCAAAGGACAGACAGCCAATGACAGGCATGATCTTACCTGGTCAAAGGTAGTGGAACCCAATCAATAAACATTTATTAAGTACATACTATGTAACAGGCCCTGTGCTCAGCACAGGGATACAAAAAGAGGCAAAAGACAGTTCCTGCCCTTGAGGAGCTCCCAATCTAACGAGGGAGTCAACATGCAAACAACTGTGTCTCAGATGAGCCAATGACATTTCCCCCATAGGTCCTGAGGAACCTCAGTCCCTCCCGCCCTAATAAAAGCTTCCCTTTCCTTCTCTACATTGGTTCTTTGTTTTAAATTTGTGTTTGTAAGTAACGCTCATCTCCCCCAGAATCACAAAGCATTTATCAAGATTTTTTAAGCAAAAGAATTGGACATAGAGCCATATAAAGACCTTCTCATAGGGTCATAAACCTAGACCTGGAAGGTGTCTCAAAGGCCGTGGAGTCCAATCACTTCATTTTACAGATTAAGAAACTGAGTCCACAGACAGTTAAGTCACCTGCCCAAGATCACACAAGTGGTATCAGAGTCAAGATTCAAACCCAGGTTTACTGATTCCAAATGTAGCATCCCTTTCTCTGCAGTGGAGTACCTCCGAACCCAACAATCCCATCCACAATAACTTTGACAAGGAGTCTTCCAGGCTAAACATCCTCATAAGCTATGGTTTCTGGTGCCTTCACCATGCTAGTCATTCTCCTCCAAATGAGCTCCAGCTTGTTAATGTGGCATCCCAGGTATCGAGGACCATTTTGGAGAGGGTCCTTGGGCTGGTATGGCATGTTAATAGGGATGTCCAACATACTGATCACACTACAAATGATGCCACAATAGCAACCACAACTTTAATAGAAGAGTTATGATTGATTTCATTGATCTCATAGCCAACCAGAGCTGGAAATTCAACAGGAGGCACAAGACAGTCCTGCCCTCAGGGAGCTCACAACCTAACAGGGGCCTTGACCAAGGTTCCTTCCAACTCAATCTACAATGACATCAAATAAGTACCATTCCTACCATACCAAGCTGCCTCTGGATAGCTCCGTTAGAAACATTTTCCCAGAGTTACATGAACTGATGCAAAGTGAAGTGAGCAGAACCAGGAGAAGAATGTACACAGTAACAGCAACACTGTACAATGATTAGCTGCAGAATGACTCAGCTATTCTCATTAATACAATGACCCAAGACAGTTCCTAAGGATTTATGATGAAAAATGCTATCTAAATCCAGAGAAAGCGCCTATGGAGTCTGAATGCAGATCGAGGAATAATTTTTTTTTACTTTTATTTTTCTTGGGTTTTTTTTTTGTCTGTTTTCTTTCACAATATGATTTAATATGGAAATGTGTTTTATATGACTGCACATGTATAACCTATGTCAAATTGCTTTCTTTCTCAATGAGGGAGGGAGAGAATTTGGAACTCAAAATTTAAAAAAAAAATATTAAAAATTTTCTTAACTTGTAATTGGGGAAAAATAAAATATTAAGAAATTATTCTGAATGAAAAATTGTTTTTACATGTAATTGGGGAGGGGGGAATAATATATTAAAAAGAGAAAGGTTTTCCTGACAAGCCTAAGTTTGCGTCTTCACAACTTCCACCTATTCATCAAATAAGAATATTTATAAAGCACAGTTCCTGGCACATAGTAAGTGCTATTAAATGAATGCTTATTTTCTTCCCCTTCCCTTCATGGTTCTCTCCTTTGGGTCCAAGAAGAAAAAATTAAATTCCTCTTTCCAATGACAGCCCATCAGATCCAAGATTTTAGGTATCCTGATGCCTTACTGTGTCTTCTCAAGGCTAAAAGTCCCTAGTTCCTTGAACCTCTCCTCATTTGACATGGACTCAAGGCCATAGGTCTTCCCGATGGCCACGATCTGGATGCTCTCTGATTATCAATGACCTTCCCAAATGTAATGGCCAAAATGGAACCTAATACTCCAAATGTGGAATGATCAGGTAAGGGTACAAAGAGACCATTACCCCCTAATTCAGGGAAGCTTGCCACTCTTCACATAGTCCAAGATTGCATGATCTAAACCCACTAGACCTTTTTTCAGAATAATTATTGTTTTTTAGGCAAAGATCTACCTTGGCAATTTATGTGCCTCTGGATAGAGTGAGAGACACTAACTTTTTGTGGTTTTACTAAAAAGTACAATAAATAAACTCAGGTTACAATGACTTTGAGCAGGAATTAAAGAGAGCTAAAGATCACTGCAGATGGCACCTGCCACCATGAAATTAAAAGACACTCGCTCCTTGGAAGGACAGCTATGGCAAATCCGGACAGTATACTAAAAAGCAGAGGCATCACCTTGCCAACAAAGATCTATAGAGTCAAAGCTTTGGCTCTTCAGTAGTAATGTATGGCTGTGAGAGTTGGATTCTAAGGAAAGATGAGCACCACAGAATTGATGCTTTCGAATTGTGGTGCTGGAGAAGACTTTTAAGAGTTCCCTAGACAGCAAGGAGATCAAATCAGTCAATACTTAAGTTAATTCAGACTATTTACTGGAAGGTCAAATACTGAAGCTTAAATACTTTGATCATCTAATGAGAAGATGGGACTCATTGGAAAAGACCCTGATGTTAGGAAAGATTGAAGGCAAAAGGAAAAGAGGACAGCAGAGGATGAAATGGATAGTGTCATGCAAACAATGAACATAAACTTGCATAGACTTCAGGAGCTAGTGGAAGACAGAAGAGCCCGGCATGCTATAGTCCATAAGGTCACGGAGAATGAGATATATCTGAACAATTAAACAACTTCCCAGAGTTGCTGAGCTCATGTAAATAAAGTATTTTAACCTATATAAATGTCAATTATTATTATTACTCCACATACTCCAATAGAAGAAACACATTTCTGATTTTACATTTACTTTTAAACCCAGGTCTGTTTTCCCAGAGTAAAAATACGTCAAGGCTTCATGCGTTGGCAAGGCTTAAGAACTAACAAAGTCTATCCCAGAAACTAGGATCAAAGAAGCTTGTTTCCAAATATATCTTAGCATTTAAGCTGTGGTCCTTAAAATTTGTAATTACATGATGGAATAAAACCTCAATGTTTTTCACTTCATTAATCTTCAAACCTCACTATCCCCATAAGAAACAAAAACTCATCACCTTTGAAAGCATGTGTTTCAGTAAAAATGATCAGGAAGTTTTACAGTAGCGTCTGGTTACAGAGGCTATAATAAGAATACCAGCAATAATACTAATAACTGACATTTATACAGCATGTCCCAAAGTCTTAGGGCAGTTTTAACCTTTAAAGCTTCAAACCTAAGGCCTTTGGGACACCATAGATATATGTGTATATATGTATCTATGTAGACATAGTATAGAGGTGTCTATGTAGACATAGTATATCTATGTAGATGTAGTTTATGTACATGTCTAAACATATAGACATATGTACATACTCCAAGACTTTTGGGACACCATAGATACATGTATAAAAACAGATCTGCAAAACACTTTATATACATTATCTCATTTGAGCATTACAGCATACAGGTGTGCAGGGGGGACTTTTTTTTTTTTTAGGCTATTTATCAGCTACTCAAAAACAAAGGATGCCATTTTTATTCATCAAACTAAAGAAACTAAAACAATTAAACTTAATTATTTAATTAAAAACTAAAAATACAAAGGGAGTTATAAAATACCAAATTTGAGACATTAGGTACACCTAGGAACACTCAGGATACCTGAGTACGTATGCCTACATTTCCACCTCTTTCCTCTGTATTGTGAGATATTACTCATCACCTTCCCCCAACCTCCTCTATAATGTTTTGCAAGAGATTACACCGTTAAAAAATGTTGCTTTTGGCTTTGATGTCCCTCTGCTTGGCAAGGTCAAGCATTTGCTGACCGCAGCAATTTCTGGGCTTTTTCGGCTCCTGTGTTATGGCAATTGTTTTATGATTGTTATACTTCCCCAAGAGACAGCAATAAACAAAAGTCTATGTTTTTGTATTTAACCATTTGCTATTTGTCACAGTCCACAGGTTATTTAAATAGGTCGGGCTGGAGCTATTGAAAGTACAGGCTGTAACTTATCATCATTATATTTTCTTCTAATTTCATGTTAATTTTGACCTTTGCTCTAACCAGCCAGTGATCTGACTGCACACAGACAGATATTCTGATATAACTCCCACATGAATAATGTTATTTCTGGTCTGTTAAGATACAGTCACTGTGTGTGTGTGTGTGTGTGTGTGTGTGTGTGTGTGTGTGTGTGTGTGTGT